TATGCAGGCCAAGGTGTGCAGAACATGGGATAGTTACAGGGGTTGGGAAAAACTTTTACACTGACAACTTTCAGTCATATGAATGAAACCTTTTTTTCTTTTTTAAAAAGACTGTTGCACTGGCTTAAAAAGTGGTAACTCGGCAATAGGCACATGAACATTCATCTTGTAGACTTGCCCCGGTAATACATCTTTTTTTGGTGGGGAGGTCAATGCCTTGCTTTGCATATTAATGGAATCTTTTATACCTCTGGATCCTCTGGCTCAGCTATTGAGACTTCCAATCTGATGTTCCAAATCAATATCCCATATTGTTACAGCGACATACTTCCTGAGAACTACTAAATGGAAACAGACTCCCCCATCTATGCATGACTTACTCAGATCACAGACATGAGATTGATGGAACACTTCACAGCTAGATTACAGAATACATTGGGAAAACTTAATGTTATATGGGGCACTTGGGACACCTACAGGACTCTAATATGCATTGATGCTCTCAATTTCCAAGGCTGCCAGGGGCTCTGGGTAGCTACTTTTTATCACTATATTTTTATCCTATACATCGCTATCTCTTCCTCTGCTTCCCTTGTATCTTCCTCTTGCTGTTTTTTTTTTTTTATCTTCTCCACTTGAGTCAGTATAACCAGCCTTCCGTATATTAAAAATATGGTTACTTATAGGCTAAATGATGGACTTTTGCCCATGTAGTCTTAATTGCTTAATTTTTTACTTTTTCTCATTTACTCTCTGAGCATACCATGTACAGTGGTCTAAATGATTTGGACTGTAATTGGTCTCTATGCCGATGTTTTATGTGCTTATTTGTGTGTTAAATAAATATTTAAATAAAAAGGTCTTAGCTACACTTAGGTTTAAATTTGCTTGTGTGTTCAAATAAAAATACCATCCAGTGGATTGTGTTCATAATTCACATTCATAAAAAGATAGATAGAAATCCATAGAAATATAATAAACAGGAACAGAACTAAAATAATATAATAAAATCAAATGATTCTCACCAATATGTGCTAATCCTATCCTGAGTGCAAAAACGTTAGAGAATCTATAAATTCTCCACAACTGAAGAAAAGAAAAAAGAAGGAAAATATAACTGTCACTTTCTGAGAGTGGATTGTGGACATGTCTTTATAGTGGACTTGTTTTGAGCACTGAAATTGTGTTTATGGGACTTTTGTTTCACTGGATTTGTTCTGCACATAAGACTGTCTTTCTCTTTTATCCTTTTTTTCTTTTCTTCAGTTGTGGAGGATTTATGGATTCATTAATGTTTTAGAATAGTAGTTATGAAATGGCACAGTTATATTTAACAGAAAGCAAGACAGTCTAGTCATATAACACATTATAAATACTAAAAAGCTTCATTCTTTCATAAGGTTTTATATATGATCATATTAAAAAGTGGCGCACTTGAGGTTAGTAAGCACACATTGCACTTTATTTTTATATAAACACTAACTGGCTACTTTATTAGGTACACCTGTTCAATTGCTTGGTAACAAAAATTGCTAATCAGCCAATCACATGGCAGCAACTCAATGCATTTGGACATCTAGACGTGGTGAAGACGACTTGCTGAAGCTCAAACCGAGCATCAGAATGGGGAAGAAAGGGATTTTAGTGACTTTGAATGTGGCATGGCTGTTGGTGCCAGACAGGCTGGTCTGAGTATTTCATAAACTGCTGATCTACTGGGATTTTCACACACAACCATCTCTAGGGTTTATTGGTCCAAAAAAAAGAAAATATTCAGTGAGCGGCAGTTGTGTGGATGAAAATGCCTTGTTGATGCGAGAGGTCAAAGGAGAATAGGCAGACTTGTTTCGAGATGATAGAAAGGCAACAGTAACTCATGTCAATATGGACCAAAATCTCTGAGGAATGTTTCCAACACCTTGTTGAATCTACGCCATGAAGAATGAAGGCAGTTCTGAAGGCAAAAGGGGGTCCAACCCAGTACTAGAAAGGTGTAACTAATAAAGTGGCTGCTGAGTGTATAAGCTTCACATATTGGTGGGAACTATTTAAATTGTATTTTAGTGCAGTTCCTGCCTATTACATTATATATACATTTTTGGAGGTCTAGAACAGCTGCTATGGTCCCATTTTTAGTTTTATTTATTTCACTTTTAGAGAGCAAAGGTGTTAAAAGCCGTATTCATATCCATAGAAATGAATGGGGCCATGGCATACATGAGCCAGTTGGATATTTTTCCTTGCAAAGACTGTGTGGTGTATTGCTGCTTGGATCACTTTTACTAGAAAGAGAATCGCCGACTGAAAAAAATCAGTACCAGCATCATTGTTGTAGTCTCAACCATGACTCCAATATAACCACCTCAGTAACAGGCAAAAAAAAAAAAAAAAAAAAAAATATATATATATATATATATATATATATATACACACACACACAGGTACATCTCAATAAATTAGAATGTCATCAAAAAGGTAATTTATTTCAGTAATTAAATTGATGATTACAGATAGTGAAAACCCAAAATTCAATATCTCAGAAAACTAGAATATAACATAAGACCAATAAAACAAAGGATTTTTAATATAGAAATGTTGGCTTACTGAAAAGTATGTCCATGTACAGAACAGTACACACTTGGTCGGGGCTCCTTTTGCATAAATTACTGCATCAGTGCAGTGTGGCATAGAAGCAATCATACTGTGGCACTGCTGAGGTGTTATGGAAGTCCAGTTTGCTTTGATTATTATGCAGGATTTATGTAGCGCCAACAGTTTGCGCAGTGCTTTGATAGCGGCCTTCAGCTCGTCTGCATTGTTGGGTCTGGTATCTCATTTTCTTCTTGACAATACCTCACAATTTCTCTATGGGGTTTAGGTCAGGTGAGTTTGCTGGCCAATCAAGCACAGTGATACCATAATCATTAAACTGGGTATTGGTACTTTTGGCAGTGTGGGCAGGTGCCAAGTTCTGCTGGAAAATGAAATCAGTATCTCCATAAAGCAGGTCAGCAGAGGGAAGCATGAAGTATTCTAGAATTTCCTGATAGAGGGCTGTGCTGACTTTGAACTTGATAAAACACAGTGGACCAACACCAGAAGATGACATGGCTCCCCAAATCATCACTGACTGTGGAAACTTCACACTGGACCTCATGCAACTTGGATTCTGTGCTTCTCCTCTCTTCCTCCAGATTTTACTTTCATCTGAAAAGAGGACTTTGGACCACTGAGCAATAGTCCAGTACCTTTTCTCCTTAGCCCAGGTAAGATGCTTCTGATGTTGTCTTTGGTTCAGGATTGGCTTGACACAACGAATGTTGCAGTTGTAGGATACATCTGTGTGTGGTGGCTCTTGAAGCCCTGACACCAGCCGTAGTCCACTCCTTGTGAATGGCCTTTGCTTCACATTCCTCTCAAGGCTGCAGTTATCCCCGTTGCTTGTGCACCTTTTTCTACCTACATTTTTTCCTTCCACTCAACTTTCCATTAACCACTTGCCCTCCAGAGGATTTACCCCCTTCCCGACCAGGCCATTTTTTTTTTGTGATACGGCGCAGCGTTACTTTAGCTGATAATTGCACGGTCATGCAACGCTGTACATGAATCAAATTTGTTTCCTTTTTTCCCACAAATAGTGCTTTTCTATCAGTGGTATTTGATCACCTTTGCATTTTTGTTTTGTGTTATGAACAAAAAAAAACTAACAATTTTGAAAAGAACAATATTTTTTACTTTTTACTAAAAAACATCTAATAAAAAAATTTTAAAAATCAAATTTCATCAAAAATTTAGGCCAAAATGTATTCTGCTACATGTCTTTGCTGAAAAAATAATCCCAATATGTGAAAATGAATTAATTGTTTTACATGAAAGTTATTATATCTACAAATGGTGGTATATATACTGGGATTTTTTTTTTTTTTACACCAGTGATGGCAGCGATCAGCAACTTATAGCGGGACTGCAGGACTGTGGCAGGCATTCTGACACTGGGGGGGAACTGACTAACTGCCACTGACATTCCCAGTGACACTAATACAGTGATCAGTGCTAATAAAAAGCACTGACACTGTACTAATGACACTGGGCAGGAAGGGGTTAACATCTGGGCTGATCAAAGGGTTAACTGCGTTCTGTGTGTGTTATATTATGTGTTGTGTGCTGTTTTACGTCGGAGACATTCTGCTTTGTATTTAGCAACATGTCCTTGCTAACAGGAGAGAGACCTGTTTTGTTTACACACAGGTCTCTCCCTGTCAGCTTTTCCCCGACATTCATCGAGTGCTGGCAGGAAATCGTTGGCTGGGGCCCGGTGGTTGGAATCTCTAGCTGCCAATGGCAGTGCAGGTAGTGCAGCGTGCGTGCCTCCTATCCAGAAATGCAAATCACATACTGTATATATGTGATTTTGTGCAGCCTTTCCACCCTGCAGCAGTACTTCTACTATAGGGCGGCAGGCAAGCGGTTAATATGCTTGGATACAGCACTCTGTGAACAGCCAGCTTGTTTAGCAATGACTTTTTGTGACTTACCCTCCCTGTGGAGGGTGTCAATGACTGTCTTCTGGACAACTGTCAAATCAGCAGTCTTCCCCATGAATGTGTAACCTACTGAACCAGACAGAGGGACCATTTAAAGCAGGGGTGTCCAAACTTTTTTGGAAGTGTGCCAGATTTGATGAAGTGAACATGTGCGAGGGCCGACCATTTTGCCCGACATTCTGATGAACCATTAACATTAAATGCAAATGAACTATTTTATGCAAAAGTTTATTGAAAACGGCATACTTTTCATTTTGTGACTTGGATGACAAATCTAAACAGGTGTTAAATCACTCCTGCCAGCACAGGGAGAAGGAAAGCCCAAATCTCGAGATTTGGGCTTTGTTTCTCCTTGCACTGTCTGGATGACGTCAAGCGATCCTGAGCACCAATCCATTATAGCCCAAATTGATACCGTATTTTTCACGCACCTGACCATAAGACGCACCTTTTTGAAAAAACAGGGAAAAAAAATTCTGAACCAATGGACTGCAGACATAGTACAGGAGATGACCAGAGACTGCGGATACAGTACAGGAGATGACCAGAGACTGCGGACACAGTAAGGAGATGACCAGAGACTGCGGACACAGTACAGGAGATGACCAGAGACTGCGGACATAGTACAGGGGATGAAGACTGCGGACACAGTACAGGGGATGACCAGAGACTGCGGACACAGTACAGGAGATGACCTGCGGACACAGTACAGGAGATGACCAGAGACTGCGGACACAGTACAGGGGATGACCAGAGACTGCGGACACAGTACAGGAGATGACCAGAGACTGCGGACACAGTACAGGGGATGACCAGAGTCTGCGGACACAGTACAGGAGATGACCAGACACTGCGGACACAGTACACTGACCAGAGACTGCGGACATAGTACAGGGGATGACAGAGTCTGCGGACACAGTACAGGAGATGACCAGAGACTGCGGACATAGTACAGGGGATGACCAGAGTCTGCGGACACAGTACAGGGGATGACCAGAGACTGCGGACACAGTACAGGGGATGACCAGAGACTGCGGACACAGTACAGGGGATGACCAGAGACTGCGGACACAGTACAGGAGATGACCAGAGACTGCGGACACAGTACAGGAGATGACCAGAGACTGCAGACACAGTACAGGAGATGACCAGAGACTTTGACAGAGACTGCGGACACAGTACAGGGGATGACCAGAGACTGCGGACACAGTACAGGGGATGATCAGCAGACTGCGGACACAGTACAGGAATGACCGGAGACTGCGGACACTGATGACCGGAGACTGCGGACACAGTACAGGAGATGACCGGAGACTGCGGACACAGTACAGGAGATGACCGGAGACTGCGGACACAGTACAGGAGATGACCCGGAGACTGCGGACACAGTACAGGAGATGACCGGAGACTGCGGACACTGTACAGGAGATGACCAGAGACTGCGGACATAGTAAGGGGATGACCAGAGACTGCGGACAGTACAGGAGATGACCAGAGACTGCGGACACAGTTGACCAGAGACTGCGGACACAGTATACTGCAGACATAGTAAATAATGGTAAATTAGCCCCAGTATAATTCCCTGCGCACCACCTGGGATCCCTCGGCCCACGTTCCGGACCCCACAATGAGCTGCCCAATAAAACCTAGTGATTCTGCAAACGCCACTGAGGACTCCAGGGATCTGTCGAGCGGGAATTGATGTCATCAGCCGGCACACAGAGAAGGAAAGCCCAAATCTCACGAGATCTCGGACGTCGCGAGATTTGGGCTCTCCTTCCTAGCTGATGATGTCAAGAGATTGCTGGAGTCCTCAGTAGCTTTCAGGGAATCACTACCGGGGGCCGTAAGTTTATTTTGGGTAGCTCACCTGTGGGGCCGTTTCAGTCCGGAACGCGGGCCGCAATTGACTTTGGACATGCCTGATTTAAAGGCTCGGGAAACCTTTACAGATGTTTTCAGTTAATTAGCTGATTAGAGTGTGACACCATGGGGTTTATTTACTAAAGCTGGAGAGTCCAAAATCAGACTCCCTTCTGCATTCAGCTTCTAACCTCAGCTTGTTCAATGAAGCTTTGGCAATGAAACCTGGAAGCTGATTGGTTTCTATGCAGAAGGGAGTCTGATTTTGGACTCTCCAGCTTTAGTAAATAAACCCCGTGAGTCTACAATATTGAACCTTTTCAAAAAATCCAAATTTCTTAGATACTGAATTTTGGGTTTTCCCTAGCTGTAAGCCATAATCATCAAAATTAAAAGACAGAACTGCTTGAAATATATCACTCTGTGTGTAATGAATATATGAGTTTCTCTTGTTTAATTGAATTACTGAAATACATTATCTTTTTTTATGCTATACATTATCTAATTTATTGAGATGCACCTGTCTATATATATATATATATATATATATATATATATATATATATATACTGTACATATATATTCAAGTATTGAGGTGGCAAATGTTTAATATTGTCTGAAATCTTATTTACTTTAAAATGTAACTAGAAGCAAAACTTTGTGTTTTTTAATTTTTTGGACAGAGTGGATAGGGTATACAACACCTGTCTGGTTTTAATTGTTGTCTGTGCTCAGTTAGGGAAATTCACCCTCTCTATTTGTCCTGTTTACCATTATCATCCAATGTGAAAGTAAAAGAAAATCTGCCATTTTGGGCTGACATCAAAACACTAACAGAGGTGAAATGTTCCAAAAAGGATACTAATTCTGGTTACTCTAATGACAACTGGGGTTTTGTTACCTTTCAAGGGATTTTGTCTCATTTCCTGTTTTGGGTATGGCACAGGAAGTGAAGAGAATTCTCCTCAATGAGACACAGATGGCAAAAAAACATTGACGTGGTTAAAAGCTTCCCTTTATCCAAAATGAAAAAAGTCTTTCTTTTAGTTACACTTTTCCACTTTCCCACGGTGATGTTGCAATCATTTGTAAGGACAAGTAAAATTTTCAACTGACATCTAGTAACTGTGAGAAAATCAGTTTCAGCAGTATATACTGAGAAACAAGCAGTGAACATCTTCCTGGACTAGTGCTATGGGGTAAACAGCTGGCACCTTGCTGTCTGCTTGTAGTAAGACAAAATGCACTACTGTTAAAACAGGCTTAGCTTTGCATCTTCCACACTCTGCTCAGTCAAGGCAGGCAAAAATCTGTCACAATCGGTCTTGTGCCAAATAGATACAAATAGACACTGGACATACAGAAGCAGATTTTTTCATCCAGAAAGATCTATAGTTACAGCATACTCTTTCATTTTATATCAGCATTATAATAACAATACAAATAATGGTTATTTTTGATAATCCAATAGGTTTACTTGAAAAATATCCTTTCATGTTGTGAGATTTGCCTGTCTACTGGCCTTCTCTTTCTACAACTTCTTGGATTCCCAGCATGCTTTGCAGCCTATCTCTGCTGTTTACTTTCAATTTCTAAGGACTACATATCCCATGGTACCTTGTTGCCTTCAATCAGTGATTCCTGTATTGATACCTCCTCCTGAAACGCCTCCTCTCAGCACCTCTGTAGCACAGAAGACAGGCTCTGTGAAATGCGTGACACAGCAATGTCTAATCACAGGGCATAGTGTATACGTGTTACAGAATTCAAGGAAGTAAATATGTGGGGATTTTCACAAAGTTTACAAACTTCAAGATCGTTCAGATTAATAGAAGTAGGCTGGATTTTATTGAAATACAATGTGGCAACCAAAGCATAAGGAACCACTAACCTCTGAAGGAACTCTAGGGTGCCACAGAACCCTGGTTGAAAATGGCTGATCTAATATGTGTAGATGTAATATATATTTCCTACCAGAAATCCATGAAGAAGAGGTGGAGGCCACTTCATTTACAAACGTACCTGTCTGCAGGACAACTTAAAAAAAAGAAATGTTGGAAAAGAACCTGTATATTGTCCTGATACAAATTGAATGGCCTTTCATAGTGATATTAAAGGAGTATGTTATTCATGATGAATATATAATTTGTTTTCTTCTGCTTCAGGCCATGGATGCATTGACCATGTGCATGGCATTATGAAATCTGAAGACTACCAAAGAGTTCTGGGGTGCAATGTAGGGCCCATTGTCATAAAGCTGGGTCTGCATCAGAGATCATGGGTCTTACAGGAGGACAATGACCCAAAGCACACGTCAAAAAGCACCCAGAAATGGTTTCACACAAAGCACTGGAAAGTACTGTACTGGCCAGCAATGAGTCCAGATCTCAATCCCATAGAAAACCTGTAAGAGAACCTCAAAACAGCAGCTGGAAAAAGGAACCCTTCCAATCTGAGAGACCTGCAGCAGTTGGCGAAAGAAGAATGGTCCAAAATTCCAGTAGAGAAGTGTAAGAAACAAATTAATGGTTACAGGAAGCGATTGATTTCAATTATTTTTTCCAAGGGGTGTGCTACCAAATATTAAATTGAGGGTGCCAATAATTTTGTCCCGTCAAATTTCAGGATTTGTGTGGAAAGTGTCAGATGTGTCAGATTTGGCTTTTTGTTTCTCCACTTTTGTGTCATACCAACACAAACAAAATAAATAAACATGAGAATCCCTAAACATTTGTAATTGCAACAATTTTCTGGACAAAGTGGTGCACTACCTGACAAAAATGCAGGGGTGCCAATATTTTTGGTCATGACTGTAACTATGTAAAATTACTTTTCTTAAAGCTTAACTCTGAGCATGACAAATTTAACAGTAATTGTTTGTCAGTACCTTGGCTTACAAGAGTTTGACCAGATTAATTTAGCAATGTTGCTGTTTCCTCACAAAAAACTCCTGAGACTGTGCATAAAGATAGCAATAGGGAACTTATTTCCTCTTTGCACAACCAGATGTCGATGCCTGCTCTTAGCAATTCACCAGTCATGGAAAGCCCTGCTGTAGTTCTGGCTGGCAGCAATTACAATGGATCTGGTCTCACCTTGGATTTCTCCTTTCCCTGTCCATCCTACAGTTTTAAAATGACTGGCTATCGTATTTAGTCATCATTAAACACATGAATAACTAAGGGAGCTGTCAGAGGAGAAAAGATAACTGAAACAGAACTGCTAATTCACACCACTACACTTCCAATGCTCTGACAAGAAGAATGCTGATAGGAGAAGAAACCAGAGTGACAGAGAGATGAGTTCATCATTGCGCTGTTTCTTTGTTCACTGTCCAGTCACAAGGTGAGGCAACTCCAGGATGACTTTTGCTCAGAAGGAGTGGGTTGAATGATGCTCACCATCAGACTGTACTGCAGGGGCAAATTATGGCTTGAAAGTGCAAAAGCTGGTTTAGTTATCTTTTAATGGGCGATTCATTTTTATCTTGTAATTTTTGGCTGCAGATCTGCTCTGGCTTTACTTTTATTAAGTTTTTTATGTAACGAATACTTTCTGAATCATTATCCAGGAACCTGTATGTAACCAGCCACACTGGAGTGAAGTTCAGTTATCTGATCTCCATATTTTGGATCAGAGACTCAAACTACTGAAGCAGCAGAGTGATGTCATGCCAACCATTCGCAACTGCCATTGATCGGCACCTAGGAAGAACCTGGAGGGAGATGATGCCAGCACCGGAGAGGGACCACACAGGCACCAGACTATTGGAACTAAGGCAATTGTGCCTTTAGCTCCAATTTAATGACAGCAAGGCTGATTTACTAAAGTATTTGAGAATTTTGAAATAAGTAAACAGGGAGTTTCTTTTTACATGACTGGATAAATGAAGTGAATCTTCACACATTTCATTGTGTTGACATTCTCACTTCATTAAGCTAATCAGCCTCAATGTCTTAGTGTGCAGAAAAGTGACAGTGATGAGTGATGTGCTTGGTTTTTACTGGTTTGCAGTCTTGTTCTTAAAGCGGTATTAAACCCATCACCAAAAATGTAATATATTGCAGCTTACCAATCATTAGATGTGCTGGTTGCATTAGTTTTCTTTTCTTAGGCTCTTTCCTTTGTTTTCATCTGGTGATCTGGCCAGTTACACACTTCCTGTATTAGAGTGGTCCCATTTGGATGCAGGAGCACCTTAGGACAGCAGCATTGCCAGTTTGGGGGAAGGAGGTGTTAGATGTACTGGCAGAATTAAAT